GTGCTCTTTGCCTTTTCCTGAATGAAAAATGGACCTCTGCTCTTGACAGAACAGTAGGATTTCATCCTTTTCACCTCAGTACCGTGGGTTGGTTCCTACACCCAAAAACACTAAAGGAGGACGCAAATGGGGTTTGGCCTGGGAAAAATGACATGACTGTGGAAGGGTTGTGACCTTTGGAGAATCTGAAAGGCTGGACAGAGAGTCCTGAAAGGCCACATTTTGCCTGGAGGCTCCCCACCTCTGTCTTAAATGCTTACACCTATGCCTAAAAGAAAGTGATCAAGCAACTCAACAGGGAGAAGGATGGGGACAAAACTAGAATGAGCTGGCTCTGTCTGTTGTTGGCTCTGACTCCACCTATTGTTTGTGCTCCCTGCCTTCCACTCTATCAGTGAAAATAGGCACCAGCCCCCAGTGTGAGACATGTGTGTAGGGTAACTAGGGCCCAGTCTTTATTTATGTTTACAGCCAAGAGGAGGTGGACAAGCTGGTAGGTCACCTCCCTCTCAAGTGCCATGTTCATTGGGTGAGCCTGCCCTGATCCTGACTGCCAGCTGCATGTTACTTGCCTCCCACCTAGTTGGGCATATTTTTCAATGATGAGGGAGGCTAACCCAATTCACTGTCCCCCAAGCCTCAAAAATTTCAGTGTCTGAGCTGGTGAATTGTCAAAGAGGCGCCTGTAGGACAGTCAGCCTAAAGTGCCAAAATAAATTTATGTAGACAAGGATTAAATGTAAGGTATTGGTTGTGTTTAGAATAGATTTATGAAAGATTTAGAAAACTTGTTGATTAGAATATTTGTGTGAGATTGTATGGGGAAAATACAGAATAACGGATACGATCTTGCTTAAAATGTATATAGGAAGTGCAGTGTAAGCAATGGAAGTCAATCAATGAAATTTTATTATTATTTTCATATAGAATAAATTTGGAAGAAATTCTTCCAACTTTTCTTCTTCTTTTCTCTTTATTTTTTTCTTCTTTCTTCTTTACTTCTTTTCTCTTTTGTTCCTTTTTTCATGTATATGTGCTTATTTGAAGTGCATAGGTGTGTATGTATTTGCAGTGTTTTGCTTATATTTTGTAACAATTATGTTAAATAAAATTAAAATTAAAATTAATAATAACAATAACAAAATAAATTGGCTGGCTTTGTCTACTATGCACCTTGACTTGAGAGAGGTGGGAGGAGGCATCAACTTTGGCTTCTCTGCCTCAGGCAGCAAAATGTCTTGGGCCAGCCCTGTCACACATCCAATGGCCACACATGCTTAATGTCCCTACTCCTTTAACTATAGCTTAACATAGACAGCATCTATCACATGAAGCCCTTTGTGAAACAGATATAGCCTTGGAGAAAACATTACCTGCTAAGCTTCTGGGTCAGTGTGGTGTTCAAAGCACCTGGACAAGGCTAGCAAAAACTAAACACACAAACAAACAACTCAACTGAGGAAGTAACTTTAGCCATGTTGGTTGCATATAGCTATTTACTTGGTGCTGTGTTAATTATTTGCTTGTGATGTCATAGGAAGCTGCTGTATACCAAGGCTGGATACCCACAATTCATCGGGGGCATCTGCTTTAAATGTGCTTTAAAACTGTGGTGTGTACTCATCCCAAGGTGGGCCAAACTCAATATTGTTTGATTGTTTTTTATTATTTTTCCCCTCACCCCCTGCCGCTGCCCTGCATTTTTAGCTGTTCTTATTTTTATCTGTAAGCTGCCTTGAGTCGTTGTCAGGGAAAATAATTGGGTATAAAAAATAAAAAATTAAAAATAAAAAATAAAAAATACCCTGACTAGCAACAGCTCCAGGGTTTGAGACTGGGCACATTCCCAGCCCTACCTGGAGATGCTAGGGATTGAACATGGGTCCTTCAATCCCAGATGTTCCACCACCAAGCTACGGCCTTTCCCATGATCTATAGCATCATCATAAAAGCAGAGCATCCTTCCACACATTCCTGATTGCAGCAAGCATGCCCATGAAAGAAAATTATCACCTCTCTTACATTATTTTTATGACTAGTCAGCATACCTTGTTGAAATCTCTGGAACTTATAGGCTGATCTCATTAATGGTTTCAGTTTAACAAGTTTTATTGTTTCCCTATAATTTCATTAACGTTTCTTTTTTGGATGGCAATGATTTGTCTCTCCAAACCACCCCAAACACCAACTGAATTTCAAGGAATACAGCAAAATCTCTTGTTGCCCTGTGGTTGCAACATGTTTAATAACAACAAGAAGAAGGATCCAAAATTAGGTTATTGGAACTAGTAATTACTTGGGCTTAATTAACCGGCTAGCAGTTATGACAAAGATCTTCAGCCTGTTCCCCTCCTAGACCTCTTTGGGGTTGCATTTACCCAAATATAACATGCATTTGGCCTCATCTCATACTCTGGTCTCATGGGGTCACCAGTGCATAAGGCAGCATTATTGCTAGACCACCATCTCTGTCCTTCTGCCTCCACGGATGGAATAGAAGGCTGACTTCTGAAGGCTAATCAGTAAAGGGATTTATGGACCTTGAAAAGGTTATCAAATGCTCCACCATCTGAGATTTCAATGACAGACATCCAGCTCAGAATATAATATAATAGCAAGGTCAACAAAACAACCCAAGTATGTCAGCGCTGCTTCTCATGGTAGTGTGAACATTGCAACAGTATGCGACTGCAGGAACTTCATGTGCCTCAGCTAGGTAATCGGCTGAGTTACAGGAACCTTATATGACCCAAGAACATTGGGTGCATTGTGCAGCTGACCAGGAACCCCATATGACCTAGGAACATCATGTACCTCAGCCAGGTAATCAGTGGGCTGATGGGAGCGTCATCTGGAAACAGAGAGGGACCTTTTACAGTGCCTGGCTCTGAGTCTTTGAAATTCCATTTTGGGATAAGAGATGACCAATGTCACATCTTCTGGGTGATGTTGGACTACAACTCCCCTCAGCTAGCAAGGCCTGTTGAGCATTATAATCCAACCACTTTTGGAGGTGACCACTTTGACTCCTCCTGTGCCAGGCTTGCGTGCCTCTCCAGAAAGCAATGTTTTGCTACTAGAAACTTTTGATATCCTGCAGGAGTTTGACATGATGTGCTCTTGATTTGGCAAATGAATTCATTATATATGAATATGCAGTGTCTATTAAAAGAGTTTTCCTGACTTTCAAAGAAGGTTGGAATATAAACATTTTCAAATAAGTATACACAATGAATGAATCATTGGTTCAGAGACACGGGGTTACCTCAAAGGCTTCCTTGCTTTCTCTTCTTATGCACAGGTCTCAAGCTTCATCCTGCTGCCACAGACCTGGAGTCCTTTATTAGTTGCCCTCTTCCAGCTGCACAGAATTTGGAGCAGTAAATTAGGTACCCAATGGAACACTACACTAACAATAGCATAGGAAAACCACCGAATGCTCCTTAGAGCGATGCAATGCATAACAGCAGCCTTGTTATTTAAGGCTTAGTACTTATCATCATCAGAGTTACCTTCAGCACCCCACAGGGGACCAGCTCCTTCCTCTTTGAAGTACTGAAGCCCTGAGGATATACAGCATAAAGGAGAGCACTGAAACCTCCCACTGAGTGATCAGGTAGATAGGATAGGATTTCCAAACCAATGGCCCACAGTCTCTCCGGGAGTTCATTGCCTACCCTTGTTCTGTCTTTCCTGTCCCTGTGCAAGGCTCATCACATTCGAAATCACAGCAACCCTCTGCTGCTATTAGTAACAGTTCAGACTCTGGGAAAGAGCTTCAAAAGAAGCACTCCTTGGCTCTCGTTCTTGAAACAGATATAAATCAAAAGTTACAAGGAATTACTTCATCCAAACACATTCATCTTTCTCACAGCAAATCAAGCACTCCTCTAGCGGCTGGAGAAGGGAGTTCAGATCAAAGTGGGAAACTAAGGTGGAGAACTTTAGTGGGAGGTGGAGAACTTCCAGTTAAGCCCCAAATTCTGTCCCCACATCAATTGGTCCTCTTCCCCCTCTCTGAAAAAATGCAGAAATATGTGATGACATAATTCAGTGATGCATTTCTTTGCCATCGTTCCACATCATTCTGCTGTTGCTAAGGGAACAACCAAATATGAGAATGTGATAACACTGGTAAGTATCCTTACACTTTAGTGTGGGGAGGGGAATGTGAAAGACATGACATATTGATGCTGCTTTTGGTGTAAGTCCCTTGTCAACAACAACATGCAGTCCCACCCTTAACAAAATGACATGTTATTACAGCAGCTTCATATCTGACATTTTTCCTACAGCAAATTATGACAACAGTGTGTAAATCTGCATAGTGTTAGATGAGAAGGTCATTTTTTTCCTGTTGCAAGTAGGGTAAGACTAGACCCAAAGTAGGTTTGATGATTGAGTAGGGCAATTTCAATGTGATGGAGTGATTTTAGTGGTGAGAGATCTTCTGTATTGTTTTCTAGGAAAGGAAAGGAAAGGATGAAGAGGAAGCCGCCACTGTCTTCCTAAGTGAAATGAGCAAACAAACAAAAATCACTTCACTCCTGAAAATCAACAAAATAAGCTAACCCTCATTTGCTGCTTGGAAATGTAGTGAAGAAGGGGTGGGGTGGGGATTTCTTTACAGAAAACCCTGGACACCAGCCCTGCCTCCCAACCACTTAAAGGCACCATTTCCTAGTGTTGTATTTGCCCAAGCAGAGCTGATGGATGAGAAGCAAACATTCGGCTAAATACCCCCATCTACTCTGTGGTCTGAAGGTATCACTGCCATTTCTACCGCTGAATGTATAGTTCATTTGGATACTTATTTGGACATATGGACTTCCTATATCACTTGAGATGTTTAAGTCAGGTATGATGGATTATTCTTAGTGCTGAGGCCAGTCGATGGTGTTCCTTTCTTTTTTTCCCTGCTGCAAAAAATAAAATTTGAAATACTTTTTTAAAAGTAAAAGCAGACAAAGAGAAGGCCACAATGCTGATGGTTTGTTTTTGTACTTTATTTGAGAAGAGGGGTCTACATAAACTATGTCAGGAGGATACAGCTCTACACACAGGTTTTATCAATCAATAAATGGCGTCGTTAAACATAACACTGAGGATATGATACTATGAGAAGACAGAAGACACATGACCGAGAATTATTTACAGCTCAAACATACAATATATTTATACTTGAGAGAGAGATGTGCATTTGTGGATGTACACATAAACACGAGGGTCTAAGGATGTACATTTTTGACCGTGTACAAACACACGTATGTAAAAAAAGGCTTCTTTTAAATGAAAGTCAAGGAATGAGCTTGCCATCTGATGGCAGCAGTTTCCAGGGAGACGTTTTCATTTGGTGGTAGCGGCAGTGACTTTGGGCTTCCGCCCTCCAAGGTCACGTCACCTACTGCTCATCCCCTCCGTTCTGTACAATGCATTTACTTAGCAGTGGGCTATGTGTGCGGTGGGTAAGGAGCGTGGATGGGATCACAAAGAAGGAGCATGACATGCCGATGGGATAAGTGACCTTTGGTGATTCCATTAAGTCATCCTTTATATTAAACATAAATTATCAATACTTTAAAAAATAATTTTTCTCTATCGTTCCAAGGTTTTTGTGGGGGAAGAGCCAGGGAACAGGGACAAAAGGGAGAAATATAATCCAGCTTTGAAAATATATTTTTTTATGAATTGGAATATATGTTGTTTCCCACCCCCACCCCACCCCCCAAAAAGAGTCTTATCTGAGACAAGTTAATAATATAACTGACTTTTCTCCACTCATATTAACAAAGGCCTCTGTCTAAATTGAGCATGAAGAAGCTAGCTACTCTCTTGGCTAGAATCCAGGTACTCATTCAGCCCAGGCAGTTGACTGTTTATGAAATGGTACATTCCCCACAGTGTGCATGTAACCACTTGGGAAATTGGTCACTGGGATTGTCACGACAACTGGCAAGAAAATTTAGGAACGTGGAAAGTTGACTTACATGAGTCCGACTATTGGTAAGCGTCATAACTCAGTGGCTAGAACATCTGCTTTACATAGAGAAAATCCCAGGTTCAATCTTTGGCATCTCCAGGTAGGACTGGGAATGTTCCATGTCTGCAACCTTGCAGCATTGCTGACAGTCAATGTTGACAGTGCTGACCTAGATGCACCAATGGTCTGACTTGATGGTTTTTTCATGCTACCATTGGTCCACCTAGCTCAGGGATGAGGAGTCTGTAATTCTCCAGATATTGTTGGACTACAGCTCTCACAATCCCTGATCACTGAATCTCCTGAGTGGGGCTGATGGAGTTGGGAGTCCAATAATATCTGGATGGCCACAAGTTCCCCAGACCTGAAGCAAATCATGATTGTTTATCCTAGCCAACAGCAACTCTGCACGATTTCAGGCAGGGGTATGTCCCAGCTCTACCTAGTGATGCTAAGGAGTGAACCTAGGACCTTTGGCATGCAAAGCATGCACTCTACCATCTGATTATAACCATCTTACTATTCTTCTTTACTTGATATGAAAACTAGGAAAGGAGCCTGGAAGGGCAAATTTCTCCTTACCCCTTGGTAGGATGATGGGTTTACAAAGTGGTCACACATGCACCGTGGTAAGTTAACCAGTTCATAAATAGATGAGGGCAGTCATCCACCCTCAAATAAATAGCAAGCCACAATGAGACAGAAAGAAAGGTGTGCTAGGGGTGTGGAAGCTAGGGGTGTGGAAACTTGTGACCTTGCAGTTGTTGCTGGAGTTAGACTCCAATGTCCAACATTTCTGACCACTTGCCATACAGCCTGGGGCTGGTAGGAGTTGTAGTCCAGCAACATCTTTCAGGCCACATGTTAGAATCATAGAATCATAGAGTTGGAAGAGACCACAAGGGCCATCGAGTCCAACCCCCTGCCAAGCAGGAAACACCATCAGAGCACTCCTGACATATGGTTGTCAAGCCTCTGCTTAAAGACCTCCAAAGAAGGAGACTCCACCACCACATGTTGGCTTCCACCAGCATACAGGAAATCCAGGAAGTCCAGGAAGAGCTACAGCAGATGTGGGTTTGAAAGAAAATCCAAATGAAGGGGACTTGCACAGCTTAGTGCAAAATGATATGTGGTGCCCTCCGGATGTTGTTGAACTACAACACCTATCATCTCTGTCCATTGGTCATGCTTGCTGAGGCTGATGGAGTTGTGGTTCAGCAATGCCTGAAGGACACCACATTGGATATGTCTGATATAGATTAATTCAATGGTCTTTCTGGAATAGACATTTCTTCTTTGATTATATACAGATACATGAAGCTTGTTACAGTTCCAGCCAATTGTTCCCTTTTGGGGGGTGGATGTGCTGCATTCTCCCCAAAGTATCTTGTGCAGCAGGTCTAGGGGTATAACATAAAGTGCAGTCGGCGAGGTCGCAAAGCCAGGTGCAACAATGGCCTGTGGTCTTTCACAACAAATGGACAGGATGCTAACCAGTCACGATGGGAAGTTCTTACTCCTCATTTCATGCAATACAGAGAGTTATGTTCTTTCTTAACATCCCAGTTGAAATCAAGGGGATTTTAAAGTATTGAATGAGGCCAAATTGCATCCACTGATGCCCCAACCAAGAGGCATGCTACATAAGTGGGAACTCAGACTAGTTGTTGACATTGATGGGCCTATATGCAATGGATGTGTTTCAGTGGTATCAGTAGGCCTTCAGCACCATCTTTTTTCTATACTGGGTGCACCACTGCATTTCTGGATAATTTGATATACTGGAGACATTCTATAGAATGGTCCAACTATCTGGGCCCATTACCATCTTTATAATATACATCCTATGACTAAAGCAATGGGTATATTTCTCTTCTCTCCTTCTGCCTTTCTCTGTATCCCTTCACACTGATATGACTGCCTATGAGAAGGGGAAAGGAGGGTTTCCCTTCTCTCCACCCACACAACACCCATTATATATTTATCTGATTGCTATGTATTTGGATATCATAACCAAGGTCAATGGCGTTTTTTTGGTCTAACCTCAGCTATAACTGGATGCCATTTTGAATCAAGTTGGTGGACTGAATCTTTCAAAACTGTGCTGATTTTACCAAAGTTTGCATGATGGTTCCTAAGACCAAGGAACATGTTTTCATCTCTGTCTGGATACAGTTGAATATCACTTTGAATCAGGATGGCAGACCAAACATTTCAAAATTGCTCTGATTTCAACTACTGATTTCAAAGTTGAGCTATTTCTGTTTCTTAGAATTCCTGAACAACACAGAGCATAAGGCTGATATTTTTTCTATAGAAGGCAGCTCAACTTTCCATTACATGCTAGTGACCCAGAAGCAGAACATAGGATGGGGCTTTACAAACAGAGAGGTGGAGTTTTGCAGATAGGAGAAGGCTCAGTCCTCAATGTCTACGTATCATCAGTTCAGGGGTATACTTTAACTCTTAATTCATTGATGCATCCTTCAATAGCTCCCTCCCAATAAAAGTTAAGGCTGAACCAAGAATGGCTACCAAATATCCTGCCCCATTAGGGGCTATTTTTGTTCTTTTTAGCCCAGGGGAGGAGTGTACCCTCCAACTTTTCGCCAATGAAAATAGGCTTGCAACATATATACAAACATAATAAAACATCAAACATTTAAGAACTTCCCTAGAAGGGAATGCCTTTAGACGGCTCAGGGGTCAATAACTCAACACCCTCCAACATTTCTCCAACGAAAATAGGGATGCACTGTACTAAGAAAAAGTGGGACATTCTGGGATTAAATCAGAAACTGGGATGGCTTCTGTAAATCCAGGACTGTCCCTGGAAAATAGGGACACTTGGAGGGTCTGGTGCTTTTGTGGCAGCAGCAGCATATTCAAAGCAACACCATTACTACATGCACACCCAAAAACCCTTTTAGATAGATGATTGCAACAGAAGCCTCCTGGGGTTCATCATCAGAGCACAGTTAGCCTACATACAAACACACACTGGGTGTCCCCTTTACTTTCTCCAGCATTAATGTGTAGTTGCCATTCACGTCTGCGGGGTAAAGTGAATCTTGCCCTGGCACAGTGGATTCTGTGGAGACATACGCAAAGAGGTCCTTTGCACAGAATACATTAGGTGTCCTTGAAATGTCCAAATCCCCCCTTTGGACACACAAAACCTATCACCGCAATGGGCATTTTGCTAGTGGTGCATAAAGCTTAATTCCATTTCCAACCATGCAGCTTTCTGGTGTAGCACCCCTACACCCACTCTTTAGCTTTACTTTGGGCCAGACTTCTGATATACGTGGTCTTTTCCCCCAATCAATGAGGAACTGAAGTGCAGATTGTTTCGTCTCTAGAGCTACTCTTCTACTTTCTAATATGGGAAAGAAGCAACCCAGAAACCCCAAGCATATTAAATAGATACATATATAGTACTAATGCTTCCCCCCCACCCCACCCCACACAGAGTGCAATAAAATTAGAACATGTTTAATATAGAAATTCAAAGGGGAGGCACAGCTGTCATACCTAAGCATCATTTCCCCCAAATGCCCGGTCATCAACCAGGGAGATGGACAGTCCTGCCGGCATGGAAACCTTCTGAGCACAGCAGGGAGAGCAATCAATGCCCAGTAGGAACTAAATCAATGTGTGTAATTTACACTGCTAGAAATCCTTCAACTTTTTTTTTTGCCTCCCCCTCCAGAAATAAGATATGTAAAATAGCACTTATACAAGGCCTGCTCATGCAAGAAATTACGTTCACTTTAACAGGAATTTTGAAAAGAGGCTTTTCTCCAGGGGAAAACAACATCACACTTTCATGATGTTATGATGTGAGTTTTTTCCCCTTTTTTAAAATGCAAAAGGAATCACTCAAAGATGTGTCGGTGCTACCAGGGAACAAAAAACACAATGAGATGATGTTGGAATGGATAGCAGCCCATGAGTGGCCAAGCAACTTCACTTTGTTGGAAAATGTAGCAAGGTCTGGAGATGTTTCAAATATGCATCCAGAAATAGGAACACAGGAACCTGCCTGCTGAACCAGACCACTAGTCTAGGGGTGACCAACTCTCAAGAGACTGCAATCTACTTTAAGAATTAAAAACTGGCAGTAATCTATCCCAGTTTTTTTTTTGGGGGGGGGGTTTCAGCTCAAAGTTGTTAAACTTTTTCAGGGAGGAGAACAGCCCCCTTTTTAGGGGTTTAAAAAAAAACTTTTTTGGGGGGAAATTTCTGTTTTGGAGGGGGTTAAAGGCAAGGGTCAAAGGGGTAAAGTCACTCACAAAAAGATCGCTATGGATGAAAACAGCAGCACAGAGAAAGCTCCATCTTCCCTTCCAGAGATCAAACAACAATGAAGAGCAGGACGAGGGGGCGGGGCAGGAATCAATTTTAGCGATGCTAAGGAAAGGGAGCCAGAGATCTACTGAAACCTCGCAGAGATCTACCAGTAGATTGTGATGACCTGTTGGACATCCCTGCACTAGCCCATTTGCCTCTGTACTGTCAACACTGACTGGCAATGGCTATTCAGGGGACATTCCCAGCCATACCTGGAGATGCTGGGGACTGAACTGATGGCCTTCTATGTGCAAAATTGATGCACTACCCACTGAGATGCAGCCTCTACCCAAAGGTTTCCCTTATCCCGCAAAGGAGAGGCAGGGCCCATGATGAATCACAACATCCAGTCCTTCAAGGGGAGGGTCCACAGCTTTCACATCTTGGGGCTGTTGTTCAACAGATCAACACTGGAGCTCTCATCAAACATTCATTCCCATTTGCCTCTTTCCAATAGCCCTTCATCTCTAACAAGTTTTCATGAGTTTCACAGATACTTGGTTCTTAAATGCACATGGCTTTAATGATGTGATTAGCAACTGCATTGTGGGTTTTTAACCATTAAATACTGAGCACCGAGGCTGAGGTTGTTTTCTGCATGCAGCATGCTGATACAGCAGGTATAACCCCGGCTGTGACCTTGATAAAAGTTCCCCTCCTTTTGCATGGCAGTCAGGGAAGACTCCTATTGGCACCAGGGAAATGTTCTTAACCACTGCTGATTCCCACACTGGGTTGGGGGGGATTTTTTTTATTTATCAAAATCATAGTGGAGGGGGAAAGAAAGGCTTAAATGTGTCCCTCCCTGCCATTCACAATCGGGGCAGCACGCCTGATATTTAATTGTTGTTGTAACCCACAATGTAATTGCTAATCATTTCATTAACACAATGTGTAGTTATTAGGCTTTTGGCCAGCCAGAAGGCTCCTTCTAATTTCCCAGGCAATTCTTATCATAAATCCCTCTTCCTGCACCCTATACTCCACTGAAAATATAAGACCTCACCCTGCCAAGTCACTTCATTGTTTATAGGAAATAATTGTGCTTTTGAAATCACAGCAACTTACAATAGTTCAATATTTAAATAAGCAAAAAGAACAAAAACAAAGGCCCTGATGCCAAGAGCCCACAGCTTCGCCATCTCTTGATCACTAGCAAAACCAAAGCAATGCTCAAATGGCAGTTGGAGAGGCGGGTGATTAATCAATGGAACGGCATCCATCCACACACAGAGAGAGACTCTGCTTTCATGTCCCAAAGACCCTTTGCAATTTGGTGGTGGCAGTTTAATTTAATGAACTGATCAATTCTTGGCCTCTTCCTCCTTGTGGAGCATCTTCTCAGGGCTTGGCAAGTCCATTCTGGAGGGCTTGTGTGGGAATGAGACAGAGAGTCCTCCGTCTCATCCACTCATGAGACTGAGCATCTGGTGAGTGGATGGTGGGATGATCTTGATACTAAGATGTGCAAAGAGGTTGGAACTTTAGCATCATGTGTGTGAGAGTGCATTATAATAATAACGAGTAAGGCCACTGGTCCATCTAACTCCAGATCATGCACTAGATCAATGGACCAGCAGCAACTCTCTGGGGTTCAGGCAGGGTTTTCTCCCAGCCCTACCTTGGGATGCTGGGAATTGAACTCAGGACCTTCTGAATGCAAAACAGAAGCTCTATCACCAAGCTACAGCCCTTCTCTGGCTTTACTGGTTATTCAGTCCCAAGTGGTCAAATTTCAGGAAGACATACTAGGCATGGAGGTTGTTGCATTCTGTTTCCTTGCCTAGTTTCCTTGCCTAGTTCTACAAAGCAGATTCTAGCCATCTTCAGGTATTATCCATGAGGTGGCGCAGCTGGTACAAAAGTGCCACCTCCCCATAATCCCCATTGCCTTCCAATTCATGGAAGGTGAACTTCAGCAGTAGGATCTGTGGAGTCACCCTCCACATTTTAGAACCCATCGCATTGTCTACACTGACTGGCACTGGCTGCCCATGGTTCCAGACAGTAGACCTTCCCAGTCCAAGTTGGAGAGTCTTGAGATTGAACCTGGGACCTTCTGGATTTGTGCCACTGAGCTGCCGCCCTTTTCCTTGAGCCAGAAGGCAGCAAGAAGGGTGTTTTGTGTGCATGCGTGAAAGATAGCTAATCTCTGCTGCCCCTCCCATGTTTTTAATTAAACAGAACGCATGAAAAGTGATGCTGTGGTCACTATTTATGTTCAGGTGTAAGCTTATCCTATCCTATCCTATCCTATCCTATCCTATCCTATTCTATTCATTTTTTTAAAACCTCAGTTTCTCCCAATAACAGGGTTTAGCTTCACATTTGCATACCTAAAATGAGAGGAAGGATTAGGGTATCCAGCCTTATGTAAATGCATCCTCTTCATTACTTCCCATGAGGACATGCAAGTAGCTTGCTTATCCCTCAGGGTGATGGACTCCAGTTCGAGACCGCAGGAGCCGTTTTTGACCACTGAAATAACAATTTCAGCAATGTCAGCCAGTCTTCATCATTTTAACTAGCTAGTTCTTGCTTCATTTAACACTGAAACTATATTCCTAGGGATGCAAACACAAGGGAGCCTTGAAAATTGTATCTTACAAGAGGTTTACCAGAGTTATAGAGTCTAAAATTGCAGGTTACATGGAAAAATAAAGCAGAGATATGTTTCAGAGGGAAACTCATGCTGGTTTAAAGGCATTCAGCTCACAGCATTGGGCTTGGGTAAGTCTCAAAACTGAGCCTTGGCAAGTGGTTGTTCCTCGGTTTAAGCTTCTGATATTTAAAGGTGTGGTTGATACCAATCTACCTTGTAGGAATAGTTGTATTTGGTGCACAAGCTAATGAAGGAAAACCACTTTGTGGATTAAAAGTTTGGAAGAGAGGACTGAGGCAAAGGGAAACACAAGTCCACCCTCTCGTCAGCTTCTCTGACCCCTTCCTCACACTCAGCTTTCCCTTGGGGCAGAATGGGAAACATTTTCCAAGCTAAGAGCCACATTTGATCATGGACAACTTCCTATGGGCAGAGGGTAAAAGTGGGCAGAGCACTGGATGTGATCCTATTGACTGCATTCCAGCCACATGAAACTCAAAGGGCTCTACACATCCTCTACACATCTCCAGGCAAGCAAGGGGCATTGTCACAGTTCAAGCACACATTCCAGACAGAGAGAAGCACTTAAGGAGGACATAGGGCAGGGTTGATGAAGGTGTCCCCTGGAGAGAGGGGTGTGTGTTGGCAAGTGAGAGTCCCAAGGGTCAGATAGAGAGGACCCTGGGACCTTTGCTTGCTTAATCACATCTCTGCCCCATACATACATAAATAAATAGGAGGTATGAAGATCTCATTTTAATTTCATAATAGGATGGACACTTAACTATCCCATACCACCACATGACACCTTAATTTACCCCCTCCAACCTAGTCCCAATACTGAAAGTGAGCATAATTAAGAGCCAAGAGTCTGGGGCAATAGATTGAAGAATGTTAAAGCTAGGGAGAGGGCTTAACACTGCTTCCCAGGGCATTTCCCATTTTTCATGGGTGGAGGGCAGACATGTGATTAATGAAAGGTGGCATATCTAATTTGGCCCTGAGCAGTCCACTATGTGAGAGCCTCAGTGCAACAAATTGGTCTGCAGTATCTTTAGCAATTGTTTTGCACCAGGGCTATCCAACCTGGTGCCTTCCACCTTCCATCAGCCCTACCCACCACGGTGAGTGGTTAGAGTTTATGGCAGTTGCATTCCAGCAGCATCTGGACAGCACCACGTTGCCTGCCTCTGATTTACATGCTTTCTCCTTGACTAGCTTGCATTGAAAACTAGCTTGCTGCTGTCTCAGGCTTTTGTGAAAGTCTTTCACTGCTATTCCTTGAACTATGTAAATTTCAGTATCTATTTACCAGTCACCCTGGTGGAGCTGGGTCCCACCAGGGTCCTAATACCCAACAGTTCCCATCCTTGTTTTTCCCTCCACAAAAACAATATATAAAGTTACTGCCAGAGCAATAACAACTATATTTATGCATGGTTTGAATTTTGTTTCCCATGAATCTTCTTTTTAGATAGGCATGCAGTCAAAAGCTATAGAAATTGTTTTAGTACTGATTAGTCAGGAAATGCAAGCATATCTGTTTTAAATGCAAGCATCACTGTATTAAAACTTTCTAGCCAATTGTCCCTAGCATCCAGCTTTCAGTGTGAAATAATGAATAAGTAAGTCACTCCCAAAATATATGGAACACCCTGTTGAACTGGACCATTTGGATGATTTGGACTTTCTTGCTTTCAATTTTTGTGTGCAGAACAGATCTAGTGCACATAACCCTGGTTTTCAAAAGCAAGCAAAGGTTAAATAAGAGTGAAACAGTGTCACACAATGAACCACCTAAAGAAATCATACACATCTGGGCAGGCAACCACCAGTGCTTACAACAATTAAGAGCCTTTGGAAAGGAAATATGGAATGTGATTGTAGTTTCATTTAATCAAGAAGGGGACCACTGTCCGTGGTGCTGAACATGCCAGCACCCAATTAAATGGTCTCAGGAACATGCTGCCTTTGAAACCTGAGCTCAGAACAAACCTGTCTGACAGAGCGAAGGCTCAGCCATTACCCACAGATGGTGCATGACAGCCTGCCTCTGATAATGTTTACTTCAATGGCCATTTTTAAGCAGAGCTGTCTGGAATTGATGTTTCCAGTGCTGGAGTCTTCCCAGCGATGAATACAGAATCACCCTGCAGCTGTGCTTGCCATGTTGCAAAAATCTAGGTGAAGGCAGGTCATTGAAACAATCTGGTTGCTTGGCTTCCCATGAACACCCTCCCCCCCTTAGTGGCCTTAGGCAGGCACTTGTTGGAGATGCAAGGACTCTGCAAGTTTTAGAAGCAGCAGCACTTTTAGTTGACTGTTTCCCCACCTCACTCACAGAGACATGGCCAGCTTGCTCCCATGGAAAATGTTGCTAAGCAACATGGACTTTGTGGAAGATCTAGCTTCAAGTCAACTGTCTGTTAAATGGTCACAAGCCACCATGTGTGGTTCTTGCAAAGGAATATCAGGAGGCTGTGAAGCATATTTTGAAAGGTGCCCCAGAACTTCTATCCTATATAACAAGGACTGTTATATGGTACTGTTATCTTTGTCCGTGGAGTTTTCTTGGCAGGGATACTGGAGTGGCTTGCCGGTTCCTGCTCCAGATGGATCATGTTTGATCAAAACTCTCCACTATGACCTGTCCATCTTGGGTGGCCCTGCATGGCATAGTTAATAGCTTCTCACTGGAAGGACAGATCGTGAAGCTGAGGCTCCAATACTTTGGCCACCTCATGAGAAGAGAAGACTCCCTGGAAAAGACCCTGATGTTGGGAAAGATGGAGGGCACAAGAAGAAGGGGATGACAGAGGATGAGATGGTTGGACAGTGTTCTTGAAGCTACAAACATGAGTCTGACCAAACTGCGGGAGGCAGTGGAAGACAGGAGTGTCTGGTGTGCTCTGGTCCATGAAGAGTCGGACACGACTAAATGACTAAACAACAACAACAACAACAACAACAACAACAACAACAACAACAACATGGTACTATCTTATATAGCAACATGTCCAGATGTTGTTGGACTTTAAATCCCATCCATCCCAGGCAGCATACGGGTGGTGGAAATTGTAGTCCTACAACAGCTGGGGCAGGGGTACCATGTTGTTATATATTAATAACAAGCCCGTTCTCTCAGTGTGGATCCTTATGTAGGTAAAGTAACGTCAGTGACACAGAACAGGGAGGTATCGGCTAAGGTTTGCAGAAGTACAAAACGATTGAAGGAGGGACATATGGGACACATTCAAAATATCACATTGAGGGCTGAGCATGTTCAGTGACTAAAGGAATGCTGGTCGTCTGTTGGAGGAGAACTGGAAAACTGAAGTATGCTAGAAGGGGGGTGGCCAGCTGGATGGAACCCTGAACAGAAACACTACAAAAGGCAATCAGTTTTCCTGTTTTGGCTAAGATGCACTGATATGTGTGTGCTCTTTTGATTTGCATGGTATGGATGTCTATAATGTCTTGCAATTGTGATTTTGTAAACTGGTTTGGTGGGACATCAGCTTGCATGTGCAAAAATGGGTAAGGAAGAAGACTTCACTGATCCCCCGTACATATCACTTCAGTTTTAAGAAACCCTTTTTGAAATTAGAGCAACACTTGCAAGTCTAAAAGGTTTATGTAGTAGTTCTGTCCATTAGCACTAATTGACCTTTAACGTGTGAAAGTGCCAGTTTGGGCTCCTATAATGGGCTTTTTGCTCATTCATTGTCCATAACCAAGGGAGGCTCGCTGCGCTAATTAGGCACATCTTTCACACGGCATGGCTTGAGCATGACATTCGTTCTTTACTTGGGCACTATGGGAGGCTTTGCATATTATGCATGGATGCTTTAGAAATGCTCACTGTATGCTCAGAATGTCTTGAGAGAGGAAGGGAAAGTATAAAGTACAGCATGTGCATATCATTTATTTAGACGTTGAAATGCCCTTCAGATAAAGACATCAAGGAAACCGAGCAACCACAAAGTGAGAGATAACATCATAGCATGGAACAAAAAGAGACATAGGAAGATGGAAAGGATACAGAAGGAAGTGTGAGACTGTTCTTGGCAAGCAATGAAGCAAGGTGACCCT